ATGCTTATAAACATATAAATATATAAATCTATTTTAAAAAACAAATCATCTTCTTACCAAGAAAAAAATCCTTTGATCTTTACGTCTGTTTGATATACATGATGAAAAAAGAAAATAGTTTATTGAAATACTACATAGAAAATGAGAAGAAATTGAGAATTATGTTGTTGTCGTTTTCTAGTTCTATATTTTCTCTATTCTAGTTCGCTTCGTTTTCTCTTCTCTATCTCTCTCTCTCTCTCTTTCTCTCTTTACAAATGCGAGTAATTTGTCATTCCAACTGACAACGACAAGCGGCAACTAGAGACCAAACCGAATATAATTTGTTCATGAAGAAGAAACAGCTTAGTTTCTTCGATTTAATATTATCGCTGATGAAACGGAAGACATTTCCCATTTGTATTGTCTAAAGAAGATAAAAATCATAGAACTTGATTATGTTTACTTGTCTTACAAAAGTTATTTATAGCATTTAAAATAAATAAATAAATGAAATATGTTTTTAATTATTTTCAATGAAATTAAAAAATAAAGGTAAAAATGAAACGAAAATCTATATTTGAATTATCTTCTGTATTTACTTTTTAAATGTCTTATATAGTTTAATAGAACTAATAGTGAATGATTCATTATTATTATATTGTTTATTTTTAATGAATTACAAATGAATAACTAATGATTTTTGTAGATGCTACACTGATTACTTTCGAGACAAATTTTATTACGCACTTTTTTTACGAAAAAAAAGTTCTCATACAATGCGCTATTAGAATTACATTTGATGACAAATAGTATTTCAAAGAAATATCACATCATAAGATATAATTTAATATTTCTCTATTGTTTTCACCCAATTAAATATCTATTAAAAGCGCTTTCATTTTTTTTGAAGAATTATTTTATTTTGATACTAAGAAAAAAAAATGAGTTCACGAATTATCTACTGAATTACCATCTATAATATACAATAAAAAAAAGACATATTTGACATTATTTCTCAAATGTACCCGAAAAAGAAGGTTTGTGGTCAAGATAGATAAGTCAACGATTTTTTGACTCAAATCGAAATTAAATTATGAATCGTTTATGTAAAAAGAATCGTACGAGTTAAGTAGAAAAAAATATTTTCATCATCTGTCACTCGAAATGTTCAAAGGTAAGGCTGTGTTGAACAAAAAGCTCTTAATTGATGATACATTTTTTTCTTATCTAAAAGAAATCGTCGTTCCGACGATTCGTCATATTGAATATAAATAAGGTCAATGGTTTTCATGAAACTAATGGATGCTGGTCGTTTCACAATTGACATTGGCAAACTCAATTTAACAATCGAGTCATTGACAAAAATCGAGGACAAGTTGACCTGTTGAAGATGATTTTATTATGTTTTGAATATTGTATTACACAAGTTATGTCTTTTTTAGGAAATGATTTGTAATTTTATTGATTTATTTTTCTAACGAAATAGTTTTAAATTTATGTAATCATATTTTCAAAGTTTGTTGATAATATTCACGAATATATGTTAAAGTAATGTAGATAATACATATTCAACTAATCATTTAGTTTTTTCTTCATCATATTGTAGAATTCTAAAGAATCTATCAGGAGTAGTTCTAGGTAACGTTAAATTTAATAAATAAGACATAGTAACAATAGATGAAATAATTGAACCTACTACTTGTATTTAAATATCATAAGATGAAGACAAATTGTTGAAAGAATTATTTTCTTGATTCATATAAAAATTAATTTTGATTTATTAGTGTATGTACTAATTTTATTGTCATAATACCAAGAAATAAAATCAATGTACTTTCATTAAATAAAATATAGGGAAATGACGATGATCAATAAATATTGAAAAAGTTTTTTCTACGTATTCCCAAACTAATCATTTTATTTCAATATAAAGTTGTTTTTTGAAAATATAAACTGAACTCAAGTTCTAATTTTGAAATTAAATTAGAAATCAAAATTGAACTGCATAAAACACTTTTATTTATATACATACGTTTTCTTGACTTGATATTGCCTATTTTATATGACCAACTTGCAAATCAAAATAAGTTATTAGCTAATCAAAAACATTTCAAAGCAAGTCAAGTCATGTTAAAAATTTTTTATATTGCTATAAGACCTATTTAATTGAACTTGATGATCTATAATTAAAACTGTTCTAAAAACGTACAACTGGTTATGTTCTGGATAGATATTACATTCTGAAAGGATAAGATTCATTAATTTGTTCACATAAAATACCTGAATCATAAGACTACTGTTTGAATAGATTGTCTAAATGCTGATGATATTCACTAAAATATATCGAAGAAAATCGCTGTGTACACTTTTTATATAAACTCATGTCCATCTTTTTGAAATTTGAACAAGTTTTGTCACATTGATTTACTCATTAGTAAATAAAATTTTCTACGTATATCGCACAGCTTAATATTCAATGAAAATAAAAATCATTGTGTACAACGTTGAATGAAAGAATAAATGGAGCGTTGAAAAACATGTATTTTGATAGTGATTCATCAAATCCAAATATACACAATTATTGTATTTCAACAGAAAAGTCAAAGAAAAAATATCAGAAATTATTGAACAAATTGTATTCTGAGAATTAGTGACGAAAATATTGTTCCTTCTTGTCAAACATGATGTTGGTTTTTTTTTAAAGAGGAGAAATTTTTTGCTAGAATCATTGATTGTTGATAGTTGATCACATATATTTAAATAGAATATTTTAATAATTAATCTTAGAAAATAAAATATCAATTATCATGATTATATAGACAGGGTGGACCATAATTAGTACTAAGTTGTAAAATTGAAATGTCTGTGTAACCAAATACTAGCATTATACATTATTGTTGGTATTACAAAAACGATTTTAGTTGTTTTTCAATAAAAAGAAATACAAGTGTAATGTTTTATAGATAATTTTCAGGTTATCATCTAAGACAACAATAAGAAGAAATTAAAACGAAAGTTAATGAATGATACTACACTGATGCACACGAAGCAAATTTTCAAAATTCGTAGTCAGTTTAAATGTTGAAATTCCTGTCCCATCAGTAAAACGCACCGTTACAACTCTTGAGGCATCAGTTGTCTATCAACAACTATCACTTCATTTATGAAAACTCGAAATTAAGACATTGCTTGACTTTTAACTAAATAGTTCTGAAAATTTGCTTCATATGTGTCATGACCATTAGCCATGATCCATCTTCAGTTAGATCGTCTGTTCCGTCTTGTCTGTTTTTATGCTAGTATTCCATTCTTTGATTCTTTTTTTCGTCTTTTCATTTCTCTTCTCTCTCGAAGAAAAGAAATATCATCGATATGCTACTGTATTTGAGAGATACAACATTTTTTCGAAGATTTATATATATATATACATGGTGTGTCTTTATGTGTGTGTTTACTATGAAAATATTTCATTGAGCAATTGTAGTCTTTATTGTACTGATTTTCAATGTTTGAAGCATCAAAATATTGATATTTGGTGTTGCTTATTATTGAAAAGAGGTCATTCCTTTCTATAGTGGACGAATAAAAACCCACAATAAATCTATGACATATAAATTCAAGCAATTCCTTTCCAACGTGATCCTTTTTTGTGAATGAGTTCGTAAACTCTAATAATTATTATGCGCAATAGTTTCTAGTTGTAACCTTTTTTTTTCTACAACTGAAAGTCGTAATTCGTTACAAGATGATATTTTCTAATCGTTTTATTTTTAAGTAAACCCTTATAAGTCCAACATTGACACGAGTAAAGGAAAAAAATATTAATAATCCAATCGTTTTACAACTTATATTTTAAAAAACCGTATGTTTCTAATTATACACAATGAGATGTTAATAACAGCAATGGATAGTATTTAAAAAAAAATTATTATAAATTGAAGAAAATACTTGAGATGATGCTTAACATAGAATTTCAAGAATTCAACTAAATACTATCACGTATAGTTAACCATTGGAAAGCGACAATTTATCATAGTGTAGAGTTGATCGAATATTTGATAAATGGTTCATTCTTTTTTAGGTCACATAAATCTTAATTTAAAGACATGTTATTTAATCGTACATAGTATACAATGTAATGGTGTGGCGATATGTGAAAAGCAAAGATGTATTTCATAGAATGAACAAGTAGAGGATCTCGTCAGACAACACTAGCTGAATGCCGATATATACTTTTTCGATTCATCAAAACGTTATGAATCGACTGAAACAATATCGATTTTGAAATAGCGAAAACTTCAATCGATACAATTTCTACAGTAAACAAAAACTATATGAATTATAGTAAATTTCTAATTACTATTTCTCTTATGTAACTCTTCCTGTAAAACTAGACAGACTTGCTAAATATTCGTATTTACACTATTATCTAATGTGTGTTGTCCTTGAATCGATTAGTAGTTATTTTCTTGACTTCTGTCAATGGTTTTCTTGTAATACTAATCAAACTTTTTGCCAATTTTACTTTTCCACATTACAATAATATTTGCTCTGCAACTATTTGTCAAAGACCCATTAAATATTTAACAAAATCAAAATCATTTTTTTCTTTCGTTCATAATAGAAATACGTATAATATATCGTATCTTCGTAACCTTTTGATATTAATAATAATGTTTGTTTTTTTTAGTTAGAGCAAAAAAAAGAAGAGAACCTTTTAGAATTCATATCATACTATTTTTTTATCGTTATGATTTAAAAGAATAACAGATGATTATCTAAAGCAAATAGTTAACTTTGTTCATTTGGCAATATTTTTTCTTCTTTAATTTTTATCAAAAACAAAAAAACAAAGATAGTTAATCTTGAAAATACTTCAAATTTTTTTTTTTTATTTATCATAAAAAATTAATAGACGAATTTATGGAAACATTTGCATTTCTGATTTTTTATTTTTGTGAAAATTAATAAATCATAAAATGATAATAAAATTAATGTTTCCTTGTCATTTCAAATAATCAAACTTTATGAACTTCTGCATATGTTGGTGGTTGTTCTTCCCGTTTACCACTTATTGTAGAAACATACATTTTATTCTTTAAAACAATATTACGATTGTTCTTGATTGCTGGTTGTTGTTTTTTTGAATTGCAAATCAATCCAAGAATAGTGGATACAACAGCGAATGCAATCGCATAAAGAAAGATACGAAGAATAATTCGTCCTGCTGAATGTTGATTATACCACCATGATGGATGATAATGCGTAGTAGATGGTGACGAAGAAGAAATCGAATTTGTCGATTGATAGGTACTATGTTCATGTTCAGAGGGATGTTTCGAAGTATGAACAGTAATGTCAGATGATACAATAGGTTTTCGTGATGTACGTGAAGTAACTACAGGATATAAAGAAACAGTTTGAACATGAGTTGAATGGACAATGGGTATACTTTGTATACCATCAATAATGATAAGAGTAATGATGAGAAAAGTAATGAAGAACTTCATAACTATGTTGATATCATAAGCAATAATAACACGTCTTTTATATCATTTTTAGATTTTGATAAGAAAACGTGATGACGTTGTTTGTTATCGTCACCTATATGATTACTCATATTGTTTGTAAAAATGCCAAGTGCAATGCTAATGTGTCATTTCATATAAGTTCGTGCAGTGAGATCTTTTTAAGAGAAATTTTTTTGTGTCATGGAATTCTTGAAGAAGAAAACATACTAGTTCTTCTGTAAATTCACGCTGATTATGAAAAATAATTTTATGTATCAAGTGTTTTTTTTCGAAAACTTTTGCTTTATTTTAAGCATACTTTAATTAATTTATATGGTTTTTTTTTAATGATATTTGTTGCTGATGAAAAGTATGAAATCGATTTCATTATTTCAAATGATTTTTTCAAAAGATAACAAGAACACTTTAACAATGAGTAACATAGAAAAAGTCTATGACAATTAATAATTATTGAGATAATTTTGATTGATTAAGCACTTTTGATTGAAAAAACATTTATTCAATCACAGAATACATTTGATGTCCTTGTAAGATTGTCATTTTTTTAAACTTTAGAGAATATTCATTAGTAAATATATAGTACCATTATTTTGATGAATATTTCATCTTCTTTAAAAAATCATTGATATAGAGAAGGCAATGATTCATTTAAAAGTAATGCATTGAATGTAATCATGATAGATCTATTCACTGATTAAACCTATGCATTGTTATTTGTCTTTTTCTTTCATATGTAACCATGAAAGTTTCAAGTGAATGTCTTTACATGTACACTTTCAAATTGGACTAAGTCAGTTTATTTACAAGCAACCACTTAAAAAAAACCGATGGCGAAGCACAACAGTCTGTGTTCAATAGCTTGACTGTTTTTTTTTTCTTCTAAATGTCGAATTGTATTGATGTAATAGCTAACAAAGTAAGAATAGAAACAAGGAATGATTGTTGTCTCGGTAACTTATTCTTCTCTTACTACCAAAGGAAAAAAAGAGAAAAAAAAAAGAGAAAAGTATTTGCGGTGATGTATGTTTATTCTAATAAAAAATTTAGAACAAAACGAAAATAGTGTTTTTGTAATGTGTGAATCGTCCAATACAACAGCTAGAAGTATAGGAGATTATAATTCTCAATTATCATTTTATGAATATCCATCACATAAACCATTTGTTAATTCAATACATCAACCATTAAGACCATCACATAATTTATCTAGAACAGTTACTTTACCTGAATCAAATCGTGATCAATTATTAACATCATTACAATCATTATCATTAAAAATAAAAGCTCTTGAAACTGAACGAGAAGTTAGTTACAAAATTTTATCCTTTTGCTTGTTTCTTTCAATTTTAGTTTTTTTATTTTTATTATAATAATTAGAAAGCTGAATTGAGTTTACATGAAATAACAGGTGGTTTTTCTCGACCATCAAAGTGTTGTCGAGATCCACAAGAAAGTATTGATGAACAACTTAAGCAAGCTGAAGAAAATTTTCAACGTCTTCAACATCAACATAAACGAGCACTTCAAATATTAAATGAACATCAAGCATCAAAACATCAAACAAAACGTAAAAAGAAACGATCATCTCAAAACAATCGTAGCTGTGATTCATTGACATTGACAACAAATGCTGAAGGAAGACATTATCATTTAGATATGAACCATGTGCCTTTTATACTTGGACAATCAACATCACCAAGTCATAATGTTAAAACAAATGTACAAAAAGTAAGAGAGTAATAAAAATAATAATAAAATATTTAGAAAAAAAAAACATCTCTTTATTTTAAATTTAGGTTATTGCTCTATTAAAAAATCATAATAATCAATTATGTGTATCATCTAAAGAATATGCTAATCTTCTTCATCCTCGTCATAAAAGTGAATTATCTCCACATACACTTCTGTATCTTGATCATTATAATAGACAATCAAATCGTCCTTCATCGGCTTCACCAGTTCGTTCAACACGTCGTCCAATTACAACTTCTACAACACGTCGTCCTCAAACAGCTTCTACTACTACTACTACTACAGATAGTCAATGTTATTCACGTATAAAATGTTTACGTCGAGAATATGCTATACTTTCTCGTGAACATGCAAGATTATATTCATCTCAAACAAGTTCAGATGATTTAGATATCTTAACTCGAAGAATGGAAGTTATTCTTGAAGAATTACAAAAATTACAAAGACAATATATGTCATTATCTCAAAGTTATATGGAACAAGATCTTAATGAAACACCAATAGAAACTTTAAGAAGAACAAAATTACTTCAGCTTATTCTTAAAGATCCTATTACTAAACAACAAAAACCTTAAAAACACTTTTTTATTAAATTTTTTTCATTGTAACGATAGAATAGAATTTCAATATAAAAGAAATCTTTCAATGAGAATTGACTAATTAAAAAAGAAGAAGAGAGCAGTAATAAATATAAATCTTCGTTTAGTAAATAAAAGTAAGGATATTTTAAATTTTTCATTTGAATAATGTATTCAATTAATGCTTCATGATCAACAACAGCCAAGATATAAGATAGAAAACATTAGTAAAGTTGTTTAAGTATTTGATGATCAAATGTACGCAACTTTGTCATATTTACTTAACAAATTAATGAAACCCTGCAATTAATCTATCGAGTTTTTCTATGACCTTGAAGAGTATGTTTTCATTGTCCAGACAGACACACTGATTAATGAAAAAAAAATAATCATGACGAAAACATTTGAATGTAAAAATTTTTAATTGAATATATGATTTGACCTGGTTTATTAAATTCTATTCGTGCAAATTATATGAATAAAAAAAATGAAAATAGTACCAAATATTAGATTTGAAATTTCCATTATTTATAAGATAGACCAGTTTGAAAATCATAGAATTTTTTCGAGTACTTAAAAAACATATATTTGGAAAATATGTTCATTGAAGAGTTCATTTTTTTTCTTCCTTGGAAAGAGAACAAGGTATATATCGTGCGGCATTCTCATATTTTGACTAGTGATCTGTCAAATTTCTCTTCTTCCAAAAACTTATGAACTACTAAGTTATTACCTTTGTAATCTATTGAAAATTTTATTCTTAGTTTTTTCATTACCTCATAACTAAATTATCAATTTTCTAAATATTAGTTTTACTTAAGACTAATCAAAAATTTCGATAATGCTAATATCAATATTAGAGTTAATAGGCATTTTATTTCGAACTGAATTTTGGAAAAAAAAGCGCTGCTCTTTTTCTTAAATCGCGAGGATTTAATGTGTCTGCAGAAAGCCATTTGTCTCGTGAAACATCATCCCAGAAACATCTCATAATCAAATAAGACAGATATTATATACGATACATACTTTCTATTTTTTACAGCGATGGAAAATAAGGTTCTGCCTTAATTTAATTATACAGATGATTATATATATATATATTCATAAAACACTCGTTTAGTTATGCATGTAGTTCATTTTTATTGATTGCGGTCGTACATCTTCTAATGCACGATTGTAGATAAAGTGGGGACAATGCTGCGTTGTATCAAAGTGGTGTTTCAGCGTGCACATTTTCATATGAATAAGGTCTCAATAAGTATATGATAGGTAACGCAATTCTGTTTATATTGAGTCACTTTGAAAGGCTCAGAAAAATGGGGCAATGTATCACTTTGAAAGAGTTGAAGACGATTTTATACTTTCTATATACTTCTGAATTCGAGATGAAGGATGAGCCGGAAGATTTGTCTCATTTTGTATGTTGAATATTTCTATACAAATATGTATATGCACGCGTAGAACTGCTTGTATACAGAAAAGTTACAATAAACTGTGCTCTTTAAAATGACTATAAATTAACCCTGTTAGCTCATTGGGTAAGGGAATTACATATCTAGGAATGTCTGCTGAGTTTAAAAACTAATTAACCATTAATATTTAATTAATAACCAAAAAGTTTCTTACAATAAAAGTTCGGATCGAATTGTGTTATATTTAAAATATGTTACAATCAAAAGAAAAATCATTTATCGACCAAACTTGTTACAATAAATATCTTTTGAATATAATACATTTCAATGCGAACATTTATTGCGAGAATCCTTTTCTTTATTACTAAAGATTAATGGTTGATTCGCTTTTAAATCTCACAGATATTCCTAGATCTATAACTTTCTTACTTCATGAGCTAGCGGGCTCAATTTCTAGTCACTTTAAAGAGCACGTTTTGTTATACTTATTCCTATAAAAACAGTCCTACAAATTCATATATTAGTATTGAAACATTTCATACACAAAATGAGACAAGACTTTTGACCATTCTTTATAGGCCTATTGAGGAGGATAATGATTATAATGGTACTAGAAGAGGAATTAATATGATTCTAAATGTTTTAGTGGTCAGCAGTTAGTGAACATGAAGAAAAGATAACTTTCAAGTACCACGGATTATCAGAACGTTATTTCTTTCGATGCATTTTATTTTTGGTGTTGGTATTTGACGAGGATGAAGATATGGATGTAATTAGATGAAAAAATTAAATTAACAATGAAATAAACAAACAACAAACAAGAACAACCACATGATAAATATGAATATGGAAGCGATTTTTATTTCTATACACAGTTTTATTTTATTGCTTTCTTTTTAAGTATTCAATTTTTCAAAATGTTTTTCAAAAAATAAATGCAAGAAGCTAATTTTAAATAAGGCGAGAAAATAAATCAAAAATAGTCGATTTTGAATGATTCAACTAAGAAAAATAAAAATTAAGGCACTTTTTTTTAAAGTTATTATTGAATAAGAAAAGTAGCTTTTATTTTTTGAAAGCTTTGTTTAAAAGAGAAGCAGTTGAAGGAGTTTTTTTAGAAGGAAAATAATGAGAAGTAAAGGAGCTGAATGAGAATCATCTTTTTTGAACAATAATTGAATTGAGTTAGTTTTTAGCTTTTTATTGTATTTTATTTATTTTTTATCATAAAGACTGA